TGGGAAGGGGGTTAGAGAGACCAAAGCCACAGCCCTGCCCTGGCCCCAGCCCCTCCACCTGGGGCGACTGGCCGTGTGGTCCCCTCCACTCAGCCTTCATCATCCGCATCACCCGGGGGAGGTCAACAGCGCCCCCCCCCCCCCGTGCTGCCTTCCACTGAGCCCCTCCCTGCCCAGAACCTCCTGGGGCCCCCAGAGTCCCTAGCTGCTCTGCCCTGGGTCCTAACAGCACCCCAGGCCCCTGGGCCCTGCCCTGCTAATGTTGCCCCTTCTGGGAGCGGCCACAAAGGAGAGGGTCAGGAGGGGTTGAACTGCACGGGGGCGGGGAGGGGGGGCTGGGTGAGGCGCCAGCCTTGGGGGGAGGAGAAGAGGAAGGAGGAGGGGGAGGATGAGGAGGAGAGGAGGCAGAGGGGAAGGGGGAGGAGGGGGAGAAGGGAGGTAGACAGGAAGGAGGCCTAAGGGCTTGGGGCCCCAGGCCTTTGCCTGTGCCCCAAGCCTGTCTGCTCCCTGCTCACCTCAGAGCCGGGTGCCCCACTGCTGTCCTCGGGCTGCCTGAGTGAACTCAGCCCCAGCTGGCCTGGCTCCTCTCCCCGGGTCAGCTGGGTCCTTCCTCACCTATGGCCCCTCCTGTCTCCCCGGGAGTCCCCACGCACCCTGCGCCGCTCCCCCCAGCTCAGCTTGGGGCCTCCCCGCCCCCCGCAAGCCGCCCCCCCCACCGGTGCGGGTCAGACAGATGCCCCGGAGCCATGAGGCTGCGTCCCTTCCCGGCCAGTCGCCCTCCCTCCGTCTAAGTGCATCTCCCCTCCTCCATGTCCACCTGGGGCTTCTTCCAGAATGCTGAGCACAGGGCCTCCCAGGCCTGCCTCCCAGGGGGCTCAGGACTGTCCCGTCCACCTGCCCAGAGCTGCCCTCCCTGAGCACTTGCCTTTGCTCTTGTCCCGTCTTCCTGGCCCACAAACCCCGGTACTTCCTTCCTTCCTTCCTTCCTTCCTTCCTTCCTTCCTTCCTTCCTTCCTTCCTTCCCTCCTTCCCTCTTTCTCTCTTTCTCTCTTTCTCTCTTTCTCTCTTTCTCTCTTTCTCTCTTTCTTACTTTCAATGTTTTATTTATTTCTGAGAGAGAGACAGCGTGAGTAGGGGAGGGGCAGAGAGAGGGGGGGAGACACAGAATCTGAAACAGGCTCCAGTCTCTGAGCTGTCAGCACAGAGCCCGACGCGGGGCTCAAACCCACGAACAGTGAGATCATGACCTGAGCCGAAGTCGGACACTTAACCGGCTGAGCCACCCAGGAGCCCCACCATCTTTCAGACCCAAGTTCAAGGTCATCTCCTGGGCTCCCTTGGGCAGCAGGACTGAGCTTGCCAGGGCCGGGGACGGCGGGGGGGAGGGGGTGTCTACCTGGAGCAGTGACTTTGAGGAAGCCCAGCAGGGCGCAGACACGCCCGGAAAGGTGCTGCCAGAGGGAGCACGGCCGGGAGGGCGGGCTGGACACGTGCCAGGGCCGTCGGGCGGGGTGTGGGGGGGCCTGGTTCCCAGCAGCTGCAGCTCTGTGAGCACACCCCTGGCCCCGGGCAGCAACGTGCCCCTCCCGCCTCCCCACCCACCGCCCACCTGCCCGTTTGGGGCTGCCTTTGTGCTCCCCGCTCACCCCCTCCCCCGCCGCACCCCACCTGACTCCCGGCAAGGATGAGTGGCAGCCGGAGCCCTGGCAGTGCCACACCCGCAGACCCCTCCCCGCACCGCCTGGGGCAGGCCCCTGCCTTGCATAACCAGCAAGGGGCACCCTCAGAGTTGTGGGGTGTGGGGCTGCCCTCCCCTGAGCTCCCCGCTGGGGCCCTGACCTCTGCCCTTGGGGGCTGCTCTCTGGGAGTTGGGGATTCTTGCTGTCCTGCTGCCCCCGACGCTAACGCTGAGACGCCTCTCCCTGGGCTGGCTCCCCTCCACTGTCCCTTCGCTCACAGGCTGGACGGTGACTTGAGGGACCAGTCGCCATGCAAGTGTCCACCCCGGTCGACAGTGTAGGAGACCCCGGGGAGGCGGGGCATGGAGGGGACCAGAGACTTGGCGGTGGTCTGCGGTGGGGCTGACCAGTCCTGCCCCCTCTCCGGCAGCTTCCGCTGGCCGTTTCCAGGACACCTGTGGCCGAGAGGGTCCCCGCAGGCCTAAAGGAAGAGTTCTCCTGCCACAGGCCTGGCGCTGCCTGGCTGTCCTCCTTTTTGGCCCTTGCCCCCAAGCCCGGCGCCCAAGCTCCCCCACGACCTTTAGGCACCAGAGACGGGTTGGGTGGTCCACAAGCCGCCTGCAGGGGGCAGAGTCAAGCTGGGACCAAACCCATACATGCAGGGGAGGAAGGGGGTGGCGGCAGCCGGGAGGCCCAGGCCGGCTCAGGATCATATCATGGGAGCCTGGAGGAGGTCTGGGGGGGCTGCAGAGGGAGCAGTGGGGGGGTCGGTGCCCTGAATTAGGGATGGTAGGCAGTGGACATGGTCAGCAGGGGCAGCCCCTGAAGTTGGGGACCCCCCACTCAGAATGGGGAGCCGTGAGGCGGCCCGGGCCCGCTGGGGACTGCGCACACTGGTGCTCCTGGGCAGGGGCGAGGCCCCGCGGTGGAGCCTGAGGCTGGGGGTGCAGAGCCCCACTCGGCGGCCCCTGGGGCTGAACCCTGGGCTGCACAGAGCCAGAGCAGACACAGGAAACAGCCTAATTGCGTTTGCTGAGGAACACCAAATCCCTTGCAGCTGCACGCGGGCTGAGCCAGGGGCCACGGGCGGGGCGGCCATCGCCGGTGTCCTGACAGCTCCGTGGAGCCTGCCAAGGGGTCTGGGCTGCTGGCCGGGGAAGGGGGGCGCCTTTCCCAGGCCAGAGGCCCCCACCCCACCCCAGGAGAGCCGCCCCCTCTCAGTTCCCAGAACGGAGCCCAGCTGTGGAACAGTGAGGGGTGAGGTCACGGGAGGGGCCAGAGGGGCCGCATTACTCACATCCTGGGGCTGGTGGGAGGGGGGGAGGCGAGGGGGAGGGCCCCTTGTCCTTGGGGCTGCTGGGGCTCCCGGCCCAGGGCTTTGGAGAGACAGCAGGAGACCCCTACCCCGTAGCCCTTGTCTGCCCCGCAGGCTCCTGCGCATGCGGATGGCAGGTCGCAAACGGGGGCCCTCGGAGGGGCCGGCTCACAAGAAACCCGCCTTGGGCTCCCTCCAGGGCCACTGTCGGGGCGATGGCAAGGACAGCAGAAAACAGGGTGCCGGGGGGACTGGACCTGCCATTTGGGCCCCCACCTTATCCCAACTTGTGAGTCGGCGTAGGCCAATGGACATCCATGCGTGTGCACGGACGCGTGCTGTGGGTGTTTGGAACCGTGGATGGAGGGTGGGTGTCGAGCTCTTGTAGAACGTGTGTGCATGCACGTGCACTACTGCCTCGTGTGCACCTGCGCGTGCAAGGGGCCCGGGCTGTGAATCGTGTGTTCGTGTGCGGGGCTCTGCTGAGCGTGGGCCTGCGTGGGGCCCTTGTGGCCTGGACACACCGCCGGGCGGGTGGGCCCCAGAGGGTCTGCTCATGTCTGTGCGTGGGTGACAGACACCTTGCAGGCCGTACACTCAGATCTCCGTGGACGGGGCTGGGGAGCAGGAACCGCGGCCCTGTGCAAGGGAGGCCCCCGCGGGGGCTCCCGAGATCAGGACTGAGGAGGGCCTGGGGCTCGGTTCAGGACTCGAACCCAAATCTGCCTCCCGCACACACCCAGCTGAGCCCGAGCACCGACACCCACACACCAGCCCTCGGCCCAACACGCGCATAAGTCTGTGCAGCTTGCACATGGCAGCGAGGGGGACAAGATGGCCCATCTCATCGGGAATGGCCAGGAATCCATCCTGGGGCGCCCCCAGGGTCTGCCCACGAGAAGGCGCTCTCCACGCCACAACCAGGGACCCCGCGTGGAGCTCCCACCCTCCATTTGGAAGGGGGAGAAGGCCCCTGGCCCCTGGGGCTCTACCCCCCCAGATAACATGGCCCAGGGCCCGGGGCAGGATGGGAGCAGGTGTGGGGAAGGAAGGGCTCCCTGGGCCCCTGGAGGTGAGAACCCAAGGCACTTCTGATGACCGAGCGCGGGCAGACCAGACAGGGGTGCTGGGGGCTGAGCAGGTCTGGATTCCCAGGTGGCCGCAGCGGGGGGAGTGGGCCCAGAGCCGGGGCTGCGGAGGGCCTGGCCTTTGTCTGGGAGGCTCTGGGAAGGCCTGGGAGAGATTAGATCATGGCTGGCAGGGCTGCTGAGACCGTGGAGCTGGCCGTCCGGGCCAAGGGACGGAGGCCCAGAAGGAGCGGGCTGTGGGGTCAGGCGGCGGGCAGCAGCGGGAATGGAGAGAGACCCCAGGTTGGGGCAGTGAGCCCTCCAAAGGCAGAGGCTGGGGCTCCCCTCTCTGGGTCCAGCAGAACTGGGGCTGGGGGTGGGTGGAGGCAGGACCATGTTGGCAACCCAGGCCCAGGGTACCTGCCCCCTCCCCCCCACCGGATACCAACAGTGTGAGATCTGCTGGGCCAGGGCCCGGGGGACCAGGCTGTGAACCCCTGCTCTAGGCTGACCTTGGGTAACCCTCAGTGAGGGACCCCGAGAAGCACGCACTGAGGGAGGAAGGTCTCAGAGATGGGCTCTGGGGTGGCCTCGGGTCCTCGTCTGTGAGCCAGCCTGGAGAGATTAGGTTGCAGCTGGAGGCAGCCTCTTCTGGGGGCGCTTGGGGAGGCTGGAGGGCACACCCCAGCTGGGGTGGTCGGACAGGGAGGTGGCTGCCTGGCGGGGTCTGCCCCTGATCGGCAAAGCAGATCCCAGTAAGGAAACGTGGCACCGGCATCTGGTACCTGCAGTAACCCCTTCCCATGCCCGCCTGTGTCCCAGATCTGATGAGGTCAAGGGGGGCCTGGCTGCCGGAGGGGACGCAGCGTCTCAGCCCTGCTGGGAGGGCAGGAGCAGCGGGGTGCAGGCTGAGGCTGACTGGCTCTCCGTGTCACCCAGGCTCACCACTCAGTGGGACGTGGAGGATGAGGAGGAGGCCGCCCGGGAGCGGCGCCGCCGGGCGAGGGACAAGGAGCTCCGGACCCAGGACGCGGACGGCGGCGAGTCCCCCGAGCTGCCGGAGCAGGAGAGCCTGTAAGCCGCCCCCTACCAGTCCGCCTGGCCTCGCTTCCCTCCTCCGGGCAGAGGGGATGCTGGTGGCCAGGCCCTGGGCTAGGGCCCCCGGAGGGGGAGTGAGCAGGAGCTCAGCAGGAGTGCGGAGACGGCTTGGGGTGAGGGTCCCCGAAGCCCTAGGCGCCGATGGAGCCCGCTGGCCGGCCAGCCGGATGGACTCACGTGCGGCCACCCCTCCCAGCCAGGCTCCCAGAGCGCTGATTCAGGCTGGCCCCTGCTTGGACCGACACTGACCCCAGCTGCATGGCCCTGGCCCCGGAGCCCCCCGCCCAAGTTCCCTGCTGCCGGTGACTCATGGAGGCCACGTCCAACTTGGCGGGCCGCAGGCCGGCTCGTTTCCTCCCTGGGCCCAGGAGGCCTCCGCGGCCGGGCTGGGCTGTTTTTACAATAATGCCCCCCTTCCTCCCGCCCCTGTTTTGTTCCATTTTCTCCGAGTCAGCAGCTCTGGGCGGGGTGGGGTGCTGCAGCGGTCATGGCCCCTCAGGCCAGGTCCTCGGTCTAGATAGCAGGGGCTGGGGGCACTCGGGGAGCCCACCAGCACCAGATCGCAGTCCCGCCCTGGGGGGACGGGGTACAGGAGCCCACCCTGCTGCCCGCAGAGGGAGCAGTCACCAGAGCCCTGGAGGCTCAGCTGAGGGGCCAGAGGCAGACACGTCACCCATACACGGGGACCTCAGAGTGACAAGGGAGGCACAGCCCAGCAGTCAGGGGACCCTAGAGGGGTGGGGGAGACACAGCCCAGCTCTTAGGGAGCCTTTGACTGATGGAAGAGGCATAGTTCAGCTCTCAGTAGCCCTAGACTGAGTGGGGAGGTACAGCCCAGCTCTCAAGAGATCCTAGACTGATGGGGGAGGCATAACTCAGCTCTTAGGGAACCCTAGACTGATGGGGGAGGCACAGTCCAGCTCTTAGAGAACCCTGGACTGATGGAGGAGGCACAGTCCAGCTCTCAAGGGACCCTAGACTGATGGGGGAGGCATAGCCCAGCCCTCAAGAAGTCCTAGATTGATGGAAGAGGCATAGCCCAGCTCTTAGGGAACCCTAGACTGATGGGGGAGGCACAGTCCAGCTCTTAGGGAACCCTAGACTGATGGAGGAGGCATAGCCCAGCTCTTAGGGAACCCTGGACTGATGGGGAAGGCATAATCCAGCTCTCAAGGGACCCTGGACTGATGGGGGAGGCACAGTCCAGCTCTCAAGGGACCCTAGACTGATGGGGGAGGCATAGCCCAGCCCTCAAGAAGTCCTAGATTGATGGAGGAGGCACAGCCCAGCTCTTAGGGAACCCTAGACTGATGGAGGAGGCATAGCCCAGCTCTTAGGGAACCCTAGACTGATGGGGGAGGCACAGTCCAGCTCTTAGGGAACCCTAGACTGATGGGGGAGGCATAGCCTAGCCCTCAAGGGACTCTAGACTGATGCTAGACTGATGGAGGACACACAGCCCAGCTCTCAGGAGGTCCCAGACTGATGGAGGAGGCACAGCCCAGCTCCTGGGGAGGCCTAGACTGATAAGAGAGGCATAGCTCAGGTCTTAGCAGGTCCTAGACTGATGGGAGAAGCACTGCCTAGCTCTCTGGGAACCTTAGTCTCAGGAGGGAGATATGGCCCTGTTACTGGGGGGCCCTGGCTTAATAGGGCGAGACACAAAGTTGACCTCGGGCAGCTCCTGACTATGGTGGAGACACAGTCTTGCCCTCAGGGACTCTCGGACAATGGGGAGGCTCAGCCCAGCCATGGGGTGCTGCCTCTGGCAGACAGGGTCTCCTGTCCCTGGACCCCAGGGTCTGAGGAAGGGAGGAGACGTGGCCAGTGTGTGTGGTGTGTCCCCCGCCCCTCATGGCCTGGCCCGGCTCTGAGCACCCAATGCTGCTCTTTCAGTCTCAGCAGGAAGCCCTCGGAGGCCCCTGAACTGGACGAGGATGAGGGTTTCGGCGACTGGTCCCAGAAGCCTGAGCAGCAGCGGCAGCACTGGGCGGCCGGGGAGATGTCCGATTGCGGGGCGCCCCCTCGGAGTGAGAGTCTGGAGGGGCAGCAAGGGGAGGACAGGCAAGTGGGGGTCAAAGCCTGGAGGCAGGGTTGCCGGCCAGGGGCTCTCTCCAAGCCCCCAGCCTGTGCCTGAGCAAAGGCCACTAGCCCCGCAAAATGTCCCGGGGCTGGGAGCAGGGGGAGGGAGGAAGAGAGCTAGACGGCGGCGGGGCGGCGGGCCGAGGGGCTGCGGGGAGGGGTGGGGAGGAAATCTCATTCCTGGGCTCCCCAGGGCCCCTGGGCCCCATCCAGACCAGCTGCGGCCCGGCCAGGGTGTTGCCACATCAGCACACATCTGCAGCCCACTTACGTAATGGAGGCTCTGCGCCCCTGCTGCCCGCCCGCCCCTTCCTCCCTCGGGGCTGGCTCATCTCCATTCCCACGGAGGGGAGCAGGTATTTCCAGATGTGTGGGCCTGTGAGTCGGCCTGGAGGGACAAGCTTTCCAGATGTGCAGACGTGTTTGCTGGTCTGAACAGGGCGGGGGGGCCGGGGATGGGGGGCTGCTCCGGGAGCTTCACCACCACCCCAGTTCTGGGGTCCGAGGCACTCTGCCGGCGTGCTCGAGGTCCCCCCACGGTGGGCAATGTCCAAGCCCCACTCAGGAGCTTCGAGCCACAGGGATCCCACCTTACAGCCCTTTGGGGCCCCCCAGTAGTCTCCGTGTCTGGCTAGGACCCCTCCAGCTTCCCAAGCACGCTACCAGCAGATAATCGCACCCCAGGAGCCAGCTGCCCGGCTCGGGCCCTGGTCCTGGCCACCCCTGGTCACTAGGGCTTCTGCACGCCTCATTTCCCCCATCTGCCTCTGAGAGTCAGGGCACACTCTGCACTTCCGAGGTGGGTCTGGGGTCTGCAAAGATGGCCTGTGCACTGGTGTCGGGTGGCCGCAGCCCTGCCGGCTGCCTCCCCTTTCGGGCCGGCCCCAGGCCACAGCCGTTCCCAACAGCAGGGGGCACTTTGGCTCTTCTCTTGAACCCTCCTGCTTTGTTCACAAGCAGCAACCCCCTCCGCCCCACACCTGCCCGGCCCTGGGACCACGGCAGCTGAATGGGCCCTCTGTGTGCCCGCCGCCGGCTTGCGCTGACCCACCTCGGGCAGCGGGTCTGGGTCAGGGCTGGCACCAACACCAAGTGGCATGAAATCATGGAAAATGCAAGAATTTCCCATCTTACGGCCTTCAGTCTCGCTCAAACGCAGAGCCCTGCTGGCTGCTGGCAGGCACGGCCCGTGCAGACAGCCCCTCTCCTCAGGGCTGGTGCCCTCCTAGCTGTGACCTCGCCCTTGCCTTGTGCTCTAGCCGATCAGCCCCCAAACCACCCGCAGATCCTGTCTCGCTCCCGTGCGAAACCCTTCTTCCTCAGGCCCACCTGCGTCTGGCCTGGAGCAGGCGGGACCAGGCAGGGAACGAGGCCCGCAGGGTGGACACAGACAAGCATGGCCCAGGGCTGGGGCCCGTCCGCACAGTCTGGAGACTGAGTCTAGCCCCCGAGTGTGAGGCGAGAGGGGGCTGAGGCAGCGGGCACTGGTGGTACAGGGGCCCCAGGGAGGGAGGGCTGGTTCTAAGGTCCTTGGACCCATTTCCCCAATGAGGCTGGGGTCCCAGGATTCCTTGGCACTCAACTGGTCTGACTGCTCCCATCTTTTGGATGGAGAAACTGAGGTTTGGAAACCGGGAGGGACTCAACCCAGGCAATTGAAAGACTTTCATTGGGATTGTGTCCCTCTCCCCCCCCCCCCGCCCCCCGCCCAGGCCCCAACAGCCTGCCTGTGGGGACCAGGATGGTGGTGAGCAGAGTCCAGCCAGAGTCGGCCTGGAGGAGTTGCATCTGAGCCGCAGCTCAGAGCCCCAGGAGGAGCCAGGAACGGAGGCGACGGAGCCCAAGAGCCCAGAGGGGACCGTCCAGGACGGCCTGGGGCCGGCAGGAACGGAAGAGGCAGGTGAACAGGTGATGGTGGCTCCCCTCGGGGCCTGGACGGACTCCACGCCCTGGGCTGGGTCTGTCTGCTGACTGCCTGCTCGGCGGGCTGCCCTCGAGGGAGATGCACCCTCACCCCCAGATTCTGTGACACCCTCATTCCCGGAGGGAGGAGGGGCCTGGTGACCCTGGGATCAAGTGACTCCTCTGGACTCACGAGCCCCCACTGCGGAGAATTGGAGAACCAGAGCATGTCGGGGCTGGAAAGGGCCTGAGGCCCAGGGAGGGGAAGACGTTTGCTCCAACAAGTCCCAAATGGGGCAGCAGGGGTGCAAAGGGGGTGCTCGTCATATAACCTCTGATGTTCTATTTCTAGCACCAGAAATGCCAGCAGCCCAGGACACCCAGCCCCCTGGTCTTGGAGGGTGCTTCCGAACAGGACTCCCCTCCCCTGAGCCCCAGCACCAAAGTAGGTCAAGCCCCGGAGCCTGCTGCCTTTTCCTCTTTCCCAGAATCACAACACCATGACAGCCCCAGAGAGGCAGCCACATATCAGCTCCAGAAATAGGGTCACATCCTGCTCTTTCTCTGCTGTTCCCCACAGCCTGGCACTCAGCACATCCCTGAGAAACAAGTCCGTGGATGGCTCGATTTGGTGGATGGGAGCCACTGGGGCGATGGGGAGGGGGCATCTGGCTAAGGGCTCACGTCTCCGCTTGCCTTCCACAGCTCATCGACAGAACCGAGTCCCTGAACCGCTCCATCAGGAAGAGGTGAACCTTCTGCTTTCCAGACTAGGACTTGGGGTTCCCCGAGGGGTTGAAGAGAGGGTCCAGGGACCAGAGATGCAGAGGCCTCAGGGAGCTCTGGTAGGGGTTGCGGTGGGGTGTAGAGGCCAAGTTAGAGGGCATGGGGCATGACCCTTCTCCTACCCTCCAGTAACAGTGTGAAGAAGTCCCAGCCAGCCCTGCCCATTTCCAAGATTGATGAGCGACTGGAGCAGTACACACAGGCCATTGAGGTATGCTTAGGCCTCCCTTCTTCTGCTGCGGCCCTCCCCTATTCACACACCCATTGTCCCATCCCAACCATACCCTTCCATCCAACCAACACCCTCCATCCAACCAACACCCTCCATCCAGCCAACACCCCTCCATCCAGCCAACACCCTCCATCCAACCAACACCCCTCCATCCAGCCAACACCCTCCATCCAGCCAACACCCCTCCATCCAGCCAACACCCTCCATCCAACCAACACCCCTCCATCCAGCCAACACCCTCCATCCAACCAACACCCCTCCATCCAGCCAACACCCTCCATCCAACCAACACCCTCCATCCAACCAACACCCTCCATCCAGCCAACACCCCTCCATCCAGCCAGCACCCCTCCATCCAGCCAACACCCTCCATCCAGCCAACACCCCTCCATCCAGCCAACACCCTTCATCCAACCAACACCCTCCATCCAACCAACACCCTCCATCCAACCAATACCCTCCATCCAGCCAACACCCCTCCATCCAGCCAACACCCTCCATCCAACCAACACCCCTCCATCCAGCCAACACCCTCCATCCAACCAACACCCCTCCATCCAGCCAACACCCTCCATCCAACCAACACCCCTTCCATCCAACCAACACCCTCCATCCAACCAATACCCTCCATCCAACCAATACCCTCCATTCAACCAATACCCTTCATCCAACCAATACCCTCCATTCAACCAATACCTTTCATCCAACCAATACCCTCCATTCAACCAATACCCTTCATCCAACCAATACCCTCCATTCAACCAACACCTTTCATCCAACCAATACCCTCCATTCAACCAACACCTTTCATCCAACCAATACCCTCCATTCAACCAATACCCTTCATCCAACCAATACCCTGCATTCAACCATACCCCTCCATTTAACCAAGACCATACCATCCAACGAATGTCTTTCCATACAAACAACACTCCTCCACTTAACGAACACCCCTCCATCCAACCACCACTCATTCAAATGTACACCCTTCTATCCTACCAATCCCCCTCTCTCTAACACACCCCTCCATCCAGCCCTATGTTATGAGCAGCCTGATAGCACCACCTCTGTCTCTTACCCTCCCATATCACTTGTGCTCCTCAGATCAAGAAGGAGTTTCACAAGTACACCAAATGGGAGAAGATGCAATTTTTTCAGAGTGCCCTGCTCTAGCCCCTCACTGGGAAGGCACTCCCAGGAAATACAAAGATACAGAGGAAGTCATACATTGGAGACTCTCACACTGGCCTCTCTGACATGTCCCATGTTGCTCTCTAATGTGGTCCTGGGCTCTTTCTCCTCTGCAGACTGCTGGCCGGACCCCCAAGCTAACCCGCCAGCCCTCCATTGAGCTGCCCAGCATGGCTGTGGCGAGCACCAAGAGCCGGTGGGAGACAGGAGAGGTGCAGGCTCAATCCACTGCCAAGGGCCCTTCTTGCAAGGTAACATCCATCCCAGAGTGATGTGGGGTCCCCTTGGTAAGGCAAGTATGAGAGCATCCAGGCTGAAGTGTGGATAGACAGAGCGCTGGGATATTTTGGGGCTGGGGCAGTGCTCAGCAGGCTGGCCCCCAGAGTGGGGAGACTGGGTGGCCCAGCAGGTAGGTGGTACCTGCCCTTTCTTACCCCCTCTCTTGGGCTCTAGTACAGGAAGTGGGAGGGTACGCCTAGGCCTCAGCTGCACTAGGCTGGACAGGAGAGAGAGGACCAGGGCTTCCAGTGCCCCAGTCAGGGGTCTACACCTGTGACACGTCCTTCCTCTGCCCGCAGGATATTGTAGCTGGAGACATGAGCAAGAAAAGCCTCTGGGAGCAAAAAGGAGGCTCCAAGACATCATCGACAACTAAGGTAGGGTCTAAATGTGGCTGGTGAGGGAGGGAAGATCCAGCAGTTGAAAGCAAAGAGGGGCCATCCTCAGTGTACCTGGGAGGGCTTCCCAGAGGTGGCACCACCTCCCTCCTGCTGCTCTCAGCTTTGCTCTTGGTCTCCCAGCAGAGCACCCCATCTGGAAAGAGGTACAAGTTTGTGGCCACTGGACATGGGAAGTACGAGAAGGTGCTTGTGGACGAGGGCCCGGTGCCCTAGGCTGCCCTTCTTGGTGAGTCCAGGGCAGCGGCCCGAGTGTGATGTCGTCATGTGTGTGGAAGGTGCCCCTCTGGAAGTGTGGTGTCGTGGGCAGGGCCTGCTTTGTTACAGCTGCAAGGGCGGCCTGTGGGGACCCTGGGTGCCCGGCCTTGGAGCTGGCCGGAACCGCGCTTGGCTCCCTCTCCTACCCCAGCTGGGGACCCGTCTGGTGTCCACCACCCTGCCCATAACCTGGTGAAGAAATGTGGTCCACTGCTGTGGTTAGACGTAGTTTATTAGTGGCCTGGGTCTCAGGCTCCATTTACAGCACCTGTTATGCCCTGGGTGACACAGCTGGCCGTCTCCTGGCTACCTCTTCCCCTGCTGAGTCCTAGGCACCTCTGTGTCCCTCTCTCATTGCTGCTGACCCCGTCAGAGCCCTGGCCCCTGCCCTGAGTCAGTGGGACTGCTGACTGGGGCCCCCAAAGCTGCATGAGGCCTGGGGTCCCCTCTGCTGCCTCCCCTGCCCCGGGGACTGAGGAGCTGGGCCCTGCCCCTGTCTCCCACCAGTGAGCGCCCCTCATGCCTTGCCCCCCAGGCGAGGGAATCAGAGGTGGGAAACAAAAGGAGAGCCTGGGGTCCCCCCTGCCCCCTGCATGTGTCCGGAACCAGGGTCAAACCACCGATGCAGCCACTGCTGCCCACCGACGACTCACAGCAAAATAAGTCTGTCCCCCATCTTCCCCGAGAGGCAGGGGCCCCGCAGAGCCCAGCCCCAGAATCCTCCACGCCCTTCCTGCCTGCCCCCGTTGAGAAACCCGGGCGCCCCCCTGCACCTCCTCGCCCCGAGTCCCGAGCTGTGGGCCCCGCCGTGCAAGGCCGACTCATCTACCAGCTGCCGCATCACAGGCTTGTGCCTTCCTTCTTGCGCACAGTTTTGCCCTGTTAGCCCCCATATACATTCCACCCCTTCTCTGCCCCAGTCCGCTCTACGGGAACCGGCCCCCTCCTCGACCCCACCTGCCCCGCCGCGCCCCTCCCCCGTCCTTCCTGCTGCCGCCTGCCCGCCCTGCACCGCCCGCTGCCCGGCGTCCGTCCAGCCCCAGTGCCCTCTGCAGTGGCCGTGGCTCCCCAGCTGGCCCCCCTCTTCTGTCCACACCACGGTCCTGGGCCCTGGGGCCACCCTGACCAGTCACTGGAGCCTCCAGCCGGCCGCCGTCCGGTTGAAGTTCTTGGGCTTGGGGTTTAGGTCCAGGACGGAGGGGGCCGTGGGAGGGGGCCGGGCCGCGGCCTCCTGCAGCTTCCGGGCGTTGAACCTCGGCCTGCACAGGAAGGGCAAGCGGTTCAGGCCGGCCAGGGTACAAGCCCCATCCCTGGGCCCGGCCGGGCTGCCTGGGGACTTGGCCACGGACATGCGATACAGCACCGCGTCCCACATCCTGGAGGCCCGGGAGGCGGGGGGCCGGGGCAGCGGGACGGGGGGTGCTGTTGCCCCTTGCTCCCCTTGCTCTGGGCTCTGCTCACGCCCCGGGAGTGGGGACGCTTCTGCCTCCTCCATCAGCTGCTTCTTCAGGCGCGTCCAGCCGCTGAGCTGGGGCTTGGGTGCAACTCTGGGGACAGGACACGGGTGTGGGCCTGACAGCGGGCCCGGGGACGAGGCCCCCTGGGGACTGGGGACCAGATCAGCCTCAGCATCAGGGCCAGCCACAGGGGGCTCCTCTGCATGCTCAGCTGGGGTCTGCCTGTTAGGCAAGGGTCCTGGCGAGCGGTAGGTGGGGGCTATGGGCACTACAAGCCGGGTGCTGGCCTCTCTGGGCATGGAGGCCTCGGGGCCAGGGGACGGCTGGGACACAGGAGGTGCCTCAGGGCCATGACTGGCAGCCTGGGCCTCAATGGGCAGTGGGTGGATGTGCGCCATGGGGACCGGGGGCTGGGCCCCAGGAGGGCACGGGGCTGTGTCCTGGTCCCGCCCGCCAGGCCCCCCATCTAGGACCGTCTGGCGGGGCTCTGGGGTCCTGGCCTGTGGGGACGGCACGAGCCGGATGTGTACCTGGCTGACGTGGGTGGCCCCTGCTTTGGGGGCCGAGGCCTGCGTGAAGCCACCGGGGGACCAGGTGGGGTCTAGGGCCAGGGTGGTGAGCTGGAGGCCCGTGGCCTTAAAGTGAGCAGCCAGGCTCCGGCGCTGGGTGAAGGGGAAGGGGAACGTGGGCTTCTGCAGAGGCGATGCCACGTGCTGGATGACGGAGGGGTGGGGGGAGCGGGACAGGGAGGGCACGGAGCGCGGGCCCTCTGTGGGACGAGGGCCCCCTGTGGGGCGCAGGACCGTGGGCTCTTGGTCGTGGCTGGCTTCACTCACGGGGGACAGGGAGGTGCGGAAAGCCCCCAGGGGCACGGGGGACCCGCCCCTGGTCATCTTCTTCCGGGCGGCCTTCCTCAGAAGTTTCTGCAGACGAAGGTTGTCCTTGCCTGGCTTGGGCAGCAGGGGCGGCGGGGGTCCCGAGGGCCCCTGGGGGCACAGGCCGGCCACAATGAGCATTGGTGCGCCCTGGGGTGGAGAGGTACAGCCGTCAGGGCAGGCGTCACCGCCAGTGCGCCCCCCGGCCCCCACCAACTGCGTGGTAACGGAGGAGCGCCTGAGGCCCAGAGGGGTCACGGCCTGACCCTGACCATCAGAAGCTCTGCTTCCCGACCCCCGGCACCCGCCAGGTGCATCCCTAGCCAGTCTGCTTGCATCAGCAGCTCTGTGGGGCGGCTCCGCCTGCAGCCGGTTTAGAGAGGAGCCCACAGACGCCTGGGTGACTTGGTGGGTGATGGACGAGGGCGCCGTCCGGGGGCACGGCCTAGGCCGTGAGACCCGCGGGCGGCCTCCAAGGGGGAGGCGCGTGCCGGGCCGGCCGCCCGCCAGGGCAGGAAGAGCGCCTGCCCGCAGACGCGTGAGGGGCGCCACGGCGTCGCCGGTCTGACCACAGGCTCGTCCAGTGTGAGCCAGCGGTGAGGGCGGCGGCCAGGGGCTCAGGAAAGCTGAGGCTGCATCATCAGAGGTCGATTGGCCGGGAGGTGGGAGCAATTTTCGCTGAGCTACGCTAAATGGGATATTCCCGCAGACATCCTGGCTGGGGTGGTCGTGGCCAAGCCGCCCGCCCCGGTTTCTGGGCGCCACGTGCTCGAAAGGACGTTGACAAATGGCGTCTGGGCCAAGCCAGAGGCCAGCCGGTTTGTGGGAGGAAGGAGGCCCAGAGCTGCCGCCCTGTGGGGGCCGGCCCTGTCAGGAAGGAGCCGGTCTGCCTGCGGAGGGGCCCCAGGGGTCGGCCCGGGGTCCGCGCCCGGCTGTGCCTGCTTCTGGGGGCCTAGGACCCCAGGGGCCGCGGGAGCTCTGGGGCTGCGCAGCCGGCGAGAGACGGCACAGCTCCCTTCTCCGTGAACCCCAAGTAGGCCTGTGGCCGGGGGCCCAGTGTCGGGGAGCCAGCTTGCGAGGGGTTCCGGGGGAGGGGGTGCTGGAGGCAGGGTTGGAGGCATGGGGGGCAGGGGTAGCCCCCTCCCCAGGCCGAAGCCTCACGCCCCCACCCATGCCTGTGTTTCAGCTTCCCTGAGACCGCAGGCAGCTCAGGCAGCAACCTCCGCCCTCACAGCGACGAGTTCAGCCAGACGCCCACCCGGCCCTGCCACGGGAGCCGCTGCCACTGCCCGCCCGGTCTGCCCGCGCCCGGCCAGCACCCACCACCATCGCCACCTTGCTGCTCCTCGACCCCCCGGCCGCTCTCCCCTCCCGCTCTCTGACCCCCGACTACCTCGCACAGCAGGGGCAGGAAAGGGGCTCTCACTGGTGACGGACCACGGGGGCCATCCCTGCAGAGACCAAGAGGAAGGCCCAGCCTGGGCAGAGAGAGGACACGTGCCGGGGGACTTCCAGGTCAAGAGACACCAGCACCTGAACCACATTCTCAGGCCCTGCCCCCCCCCCCCCCCCCCCCCGGCTTGCAGCCCCGTCCTCCGTGTGCAATAAAGCTCCTCGTGCATTCCAAGTGCTGGCTCTGTGTCCATTACTGGGGGAGCAGCAGAGGAGAGGGCCCATCCGGTGGGAAAGTCCTTCCCCCCACCCCCGGAGAGTAGGGCCTCCAGAATCAGACACTCTGTCCTGTCCCATGGCCTTCTGTGGTGTTAGACTCTGAGATCTGAGGTGTGTGGTGGCTTAAGTTGGGGTGCACATCATGGGTGGGGTCCAGTCTTCCTCTTTCAGAACATCTATGATGCTTCCCTCCTTGACTGGCCCGATGACATTTTACTGCACCTGAAACAGTGTGCCTTTCTGGTCTGTGCCCCTAGACTGTGAGCTCCCTGAAAACAAGACCGACCTTGGGGTCATCCCCCATCCCAGCATCCGGGAGGTGCTCAGTGAAGATTTGGTGGGTGGACGGATGTGGATGGTGGATGAATGGATAGATGGATGGATGGACGACAGACAGACAGACGGATGGATGGGTGGATGGACGGGTGGATGGATGAGTGAGTGGATCATGGATGAATGGGTGGGTGGAGGGATGATAGATGGCAGGTAGATGGACAGATACGGGTGATGGATGATGGGTAAAGAAGTGGAGGGATGGAGAGGTGGTGGATAGACTGATGTATACATAGAAAGTTGGGTGGATGAATCTTGGGTGATGGATAGGTGGGTGGAGACATGGGTGGAGCTACAGAAGGTAGATGGACAGAACAGTCCCTGTGTGGACAGTAGATGGAAGAAGAGACGGAGAGGCAGTCACACCCGTGTGCTGCACGGGTGGCAGTGGCTGGCTGGCTGGGTGCGCCGGTGGACAGACGCATGATGGGTGGGCAGACGGTGGAAGGGAGGAAGGAAGGTCGTGAATGCGAGATTGGATGGAAACAAATGGGTGGGTGGGTAAACAGACCAGTGTGTGAAGGGGGAGACAGGGTGCAGGGTGTGCTCCCCAGCCCTGGGCCTGCACCCAGATCTGACACTGGGTGCAGGGTCTGCTGCCCTCATCTGGGGAACCCATTTGAGGAGCGGGATCACTGGACCTTTGGCGTTCGAAGCCCCGCTCTGCTAGGAAGCCCCGTCTTTAGAAGCCTTTGTGACTAAAATCGGCCTGCCTCCCAGAGGATGGCGTAAATACAGGCAAGTCAGGGGCACTAACCCTGCACCGAGCCACAGCCATCTTTTCTCACCACGGCCCACCTTGGAGACTGCGTCCCGGGCCGTGCTCTGCCAGCTGGGGAGCACCTCCCAGGGCATACCTGCGTTCTCCCTCCCCACCCGGCTGGACGGCACATCAGCCAGGGGCAGCAGCGGAGGCGGCCGCAGGGTCCGTGGCTGGACAGTGAGCCGGGATCGGAGTGGACCGCGGGCTGAGAGGCGGCTGGGGCGGACGGGCCAGGTAGCCAGACAGCCACGCTGCCCGGACCCACCCCGGCCTTCTCAGGAAACTGGCACCCCGGCCAGCCTCGGGGACAGGACCCAGGGCTTGTCTCCTCTGAGTGTCGCCGATGCCTGCTGCTGCCATGACGTCAAGACCCTGCCTCCCAGAGCCTGCGGGTCACGGCCTGCCCACCAGAAGGCTCCAGAGGTTCAGAAGGGCCACTGCCCCAGGGGTACCTGGCCCTCTGCTGTCCGTCCTGCCTGCCCGAGAGCCCCATCCAGCACGGAACTCCAGCCCTGCACGCAGGAGGCCGAACAGACCAGTGATCTCTGGATGGTGAAGAGGCGCCCCAGGCTGCTGGGGCGGCAGACGCGTGGGTCTGGGGAAGGACGTCTCTGCGGTGCTGTGTCAGCTGCTTCTATCTGGGGCCTGGCAGAGCCCAGGCCCAAGGGGCTGGCACCAGGGTGGGTGCCCAGGGCCTGTTCAAGATCCCTCGGGCCCCACCACTCCACCCATGCAATCTGGGGCCAGGACAAGGCTGAGGGGCCAAGCTCTGCCCCGCCACCCGAGGGTCCCCCCTGAAGGTCGCTGGAGCCAGACTGCTCGGGGACCGCCTCTCCCTGTCCCGGCCTCCTCCCTGCTCTGTGGCCTCGCTCAGTACCTCTGGCTTCAGAAGCCCACTGCCCACCATCCCCGGGCCCAGGGCCTGCGTGGTCAGTTCTCAAACCCTTTCTGGGGTTGAGATCCGCCCTCCACCCCAACCAGGGCTGGGCCACGCTTTTCCCTTGCCCCCACCCCGGGTCCCCAGACCCCCTCCAGCCCTCTGGGGAGGACCCTGCCCTGACCCTCTCCTCCCACCCCTGCCGGCCCAGGCCAGGTGGACCGGGGTGTGGATTACCTGTCGCAGGCTCTCCGAGGCCTGCGGCCTGTCCAGCAGTGGCCGCACAATGCCATCCGGCCGCACCACGGGCCTGGTGCCCTCGGGGGAGGTCACGGATGCCCAAAATAAAACCTGTGCTGTTCCTCCTCTGACCTCAGCGCCCGCGCTCTGGCTCGGCCCGTTCACGGGAGAGCACCTGCCAAAGGCCGAGGCCACTGAGCGGGCAGCCACCCTCCTCTGCTGGCCGAGCAGGGCCACTGCAGGGCCTGGGGCAGGTGTGGCGCCTCAGAGCAGCCGGGCCCGGGCAAGGGGTGGCTGGCAGCTCCCCGGAGCAAGGGGGTCACGGGCCGAGCAGGGCCGGGTGTGCACAGGGGCTTCCTCGCCGAGCCCCAGCCCAGCCCACGGACAAGGCCGAGTGGTCCCAAATGTGCCGTCCCCATGAGCGTGCCCACATCTGGGGAGCGGTGCCCGCGGATCTCTTCTAGTAGACCCAGAGGAGCCAGGCCGAGGAGGGAAACCTAGCCACTGGGCGGAGGCCGCGCAGCCCCCAGAGCCTCATGGGGCCTTCCTAGAAGTGGCTCTTCGGGCGGCCCCACTAGGCAGAGTTGGCTAAGGATCAGCTGTATGTGGCCCCCTCCGAGGGCCTGGACAAGCTGGGCGGCAGGGGGAGGGACAAGTTCAGACGGGGAAGACAGGGGTGTCCCCTGCAGCTCCAGCCTGGATGAGGCCGGAGGGGGAGGGCCGCTACCCTTCCCTTGCTGTGTGACCGCGGGCACAGCTCTCCTATCGTGGGTCCTTGTGGCCTTATCTCCAACTTGCAGGGATTGAATGAGGTGCCAGTGGAAGCCTTCCGGAAGTTTCTGAGGGCCTAGAGCAGGCAGAGAGCTGTGTGGAGCTGGGGCCGGGGAGTCTGAGTCCCCCCGTCCTTGCCCCAAAGCCTCCTCTGTGTCTCCCCAGGCTCACCTGGCCCTGAGCACCCGCAGCCCCTTGCCTGGAGCCCTCAGGTCTGGAAGGAGGTCCCGGACAGCTCTGCCCTCTCCGTGCCTCTGTTTCCCTAATCCGAGGGCCAGGCCCGTCGGAGCTCTGGGCCTTGCCAGCCAGTGAGGGGATCGTCAGAGGCCCTGGCAAGGTGTCTGCCATGTGGACGGTGCCGTCTGGAGTCCTGCGGGCAGAACGGCCGGACCCCACGGGCAGCACACTGCATCCGGCTGTGGGGAGAGAGGGCCTCGGGGTCTGGACCCCCAAACGGGGAGCTGCCAGGCTGGCGGAAGGGGTACGGCCCTGGCCATGGGGGGGACCCAGCAGGGCCCCCAGCAGCTGAGATGCTGTCTGTCCTGTGCCCCCACAGCACTCACCCGGGTCTGGCCACTGAGTGGGGCGCAGACGGGACACAGGCCTGGCCGAGGACGCCCAGAGCCCTGTTCTCACGGGCACCTCCGAGGTACCAGGCCGCTTGCTCTGACGGAGGACACAGGTGGGCCTGAGGCAGCCGTGGAGGCGGGGCGGCTGGGCTGGGGGAGTCGCGGCCCCCGCCTGGGACCCCACCGCAGCCTTGCCCAGGGAGAGCCTTGGGCTGCATCCCTGGGGCCACCCCGTCCCTCCCGTCACCCCTCCTCAGCCCATCAAGAATGTGCCCGCTGTCGGGGGAGTAAAAATAGAAACTGACACTTCCCGGGGAGGGGGGTGGACCTTGCCGCCTTCTCCAGACACGTCCCCCACATCCGCGCCTCCTCAGGCCTCTTCCTCTGCTGTTCCTATACTTGGTAAGGGGCCTGCATGGGCACGGCCCCTTCCCGCCTGCCCCACATGCCCGGCCACCCAGCCCCCGGCCAATGGGCTGCTGGGAAAGATCAAATGTCACTATAACATGAGGGCCTGAGCTGAGCCGGCAGTGCCTGAGCTGGTCCTGTCCACAGGAAGCTCTAGCCCTTCTCTCCAGACTCAGCCACAGGTCGGTATGGCCCAGGGCCGGGCGGGGCCAGTCCAGCCTTTGCGGCGCATCTGGGGCCCCAGGGTGCTGAGAGGGCCAGGCCACCACGTTTCCACATGTCTCAGCTCTGAGTGTGGCAGCCTGGAGAGCCCACCAAGACGGCCCAGGGGTCCCAGGGTGCTGGCACGCGGGGAGATGCTCTCTGAACGTGGGGGCAGCTGCTCTGAACGGGAACACGGCAGCCGGGGTGACCCAAGGAGGAAGGTGGGGGCTCCTTGGAAGGAACGGGGCACAGGACTGGACAGAGGTGCCCAGGAAGGGTGCCGCCCCGAGCCCCAAGGGCCCCCGGGGGCCGCATCCCCAGCCCCGACCCATCTGGGCCTTTCCCTCCGATCAGCTGAGGGCATCAGGCAGCCCCCCCCAGAAGCAGGGCTCTTGGCCTCAAGCAGTCATCGCCTCCAGTCCTGGCATCTGCAGAGCCGAGCACATGTGGGGGGGGGCTTGTGCAATTCACCCCGGGGGGCAGCTCCGTGAGGAAGGGAGGCCGGGACCCTCGCAGCCCCGGGGGCAGCTCCCAGAGGTCAAGGACAGGGGCGGACAGGCCCAGGAAGCAGGAGAAGGGGGGCCCTGGGCCTCTGTCCTCAAGGGGCAGGGCAGAGCACATGCTCCCCAGGGCCCCGCCCCCGCTCTTGCCCTCCTGCCCTCTCCCTTCCCCATGTCTTGGGCCCCGCTGCCCTGCTGATGATACCCAGGCTGGGGGCACTCACCTGCTGGTGCCCTCAGCCTCCGGGGGCAGGTGGGTGAGCAGGGCAAGGAGCCACTGCAGGATGGGGG